TGCGGCGGCTCGCGCCCGGCGCTGACGTGGTGTTTGCCCGGCAGGAACGAGACGCCCCAGCTCTTCACCGTGCTGCCGGAGAGGAGGGCGGCCAGCGTGGGCACCGCCATGATGGCCTCGACGCACATCTACGACGTGTCGGGGGTGAGTGTGCCCGCCTGACGGTGTGGCTCCGACGGGTGTCTTCATGTCAGTGCGCTCACTGTGAGTCTGTTCCCTCCTCTTCCTCCTCTCCCCTCTCTCCCCCTCCTCTCTCTCTCTTCTCCCTCCTCTATCTCTTTCCTTTCTCTTCTCCCTCCTCTCTTCCCCTCTACCCCTCCTCTCCCCTCTCTCCACCCCTCTTCTCTCCCCCTCCTCTCTCCTTTCTCTCTCTCTCCTCTACCCCCTCTCTCCTCTCTCCCCTCCTCTCCCCCCTGCCCCAGGCCGTGGGAGGCCGGAAGAGCGCGGGGGGGCAGGAGTCGCAGGGCGTGGAGGTGGCGCTGGCGCCCGAGGAGCTGGAGCTGGACCCCATGGCCATGACGCAGAAGTACGAGGAGCACGTCCGGGAGCAGCAGGCGCAGGTGGAGAAGGAGGACTTCAGCGACATGGTGGCCGAGCACGCCGCCAAGCAGAAGGTAGGGGCGTAGGGGGGACCCCTAGGCTGGCTGGGGGTGTAGGGGGGTGACCCTGTTCAGGCGGGGGTGGGGGGTGTTAGGGTGACTCTGCTCTCACTGGGTGTCCTTCTCCTTCTCCAGCAAAAGAAGCGCAAAGCCCAGCCCCAGGACACCAGGGGTGGGGCCAAGAAGTACAAGGAGTTCAAGTTTTAGCCGCGGAGGAAGAGGAGGGCAGAGGAAGAGTCTCCGGCCCGGATGTGCTCCTTCCCGGTCGCCACGGACTTTGTCTGCGTTTTAAAGTGACGAGGGACGGAGAAGTTTATAGTCGTTCGGTCTTTCTACAGCCCACACTGTGTGCTGCCTGTTTTTGTAAATAAAGTTACTCTCTAGATGTATTCGTATGGGGTTTTTTTTTTAAGGATGTTGGGTGATGTCTGACCCAGCTCGACCACCGGACCAGCTGTCCACCCGGTCCGACGAGACCGGACCAGCTGTCCTCCCGGTCTAACGGGACCGGACCTGAACCACTGGACCAGCTAACGAGCCCGGAAGCAGCAGGGTGGACCGTGTCTGTGGGTCTGGGCCCTGTGCAACGTGTGTTACGGATGGTTTTCAGTCCCGAGCTGGTGGAACACCTGTAAAAAGCTTCGATCTGACCTGTCCTCTCCTTGAACAGTCCGTTCTGCTCCTGGAGCTCAGAGGCAGAAATCAGATG